GGCTAGGTTGTGGGGGATTTTGTTGTTGTTTTCCCCTGACTTAATCCAGAGTCAAAAAGACAATATGGTGCAAAGAATTAAATTCTCTGTCAATCATAAATACTTTTCATCATGGATAATCAGCTTTTATAAGAACATCCCTGACTAATATAATTACCCTTTTTATTTATTTTTATTTTTATTTTATTTTACTTCATTTTATTTTTGTTGTTGGTCGTTGGGCCTGAATTCTAGGCACTATCCCTCAGCTCTTCAACTCAAGGCTAGCACTCTACCACTTAAGCCACAGCACCACTTTTGACTTTTTCTTCTTATGTGGTGCTAAAGAATCGAACCCAGGACCTCATGCATGCAAGCACTCTACCACCGAGCCACCTTTCCAGCCCATTATAATTACTCTTAAATGGACAAATGATATATAGTTTTAAAATCTGTAATTTTAGCTAAACTTGACACTATAATTTCTCGTCTGTATTTCATTTACCAGAATCTAGAACTATTCTGACCAAAACTTCTCTTCAGTATTCTCTTGTACTAAGCAAGCACTGGTTCTCAACTAAGCAAGCAAGGTCCTCTGAGGGAGTTTGGGGAAATATGAAAGGATTTTTAGTTGTTCCCATGGCCTGGGGACATTGCTTGGTGATCTGTGAACAGATCATGCATGCATTCCTGTGTGCCAACAGATAGCCTCTTCAGATACTGAGCTGTATCCAAACTAAGAATAAATTAGAAAGTAATCCTTTTAGTAGCTACAAAAATATTGATGATATTTTAATAGGTATTTTTAAGCCTACGTATCTATTTTAGAAGAATGAGTCTTTCCCTCTATGAACATTCTCTCTCTGTTTTGTAATCAGTCTCATAGTCTTCGATTTCTTTCAGCAGCATTAGTTAGTTTTCAGCACTTTGATTCTTTCCATAGTCATCTGTGTATTTTTTTTCCCACTCAAGGTTAGTGCTGTGTGTGTGTGTGTTTAGGTTGATACCAAAGGAACTTGAATTCAGGGTCTTGAGCTCTTGCTTAGCTTTTTCCATTCAAGGCTGATGTATTTTTATGCTTATCTGTAAGTCTTAGTGTATTGATATTTATGTATCTCTGTTCTTTTTTAGTGATTGTATTGTTATGTATTTTAGCATTTTTGTGTTTATGGCTCTACATAGAAAATTCACTATAATTTTATGTGTTGATCTTGTTTTCTGTGTCTACTGAACTTATTTATATCTCTAGGGGATATGTGTAGATTCCTTGGATTTTCTGTGTTGAGTATCTGGTCATCTGCAAATGAGACCAGTCTGTCCTTCCTCCCTCCCTCCTTCCCTCCCTCCCTTCCTCCCTCCCTTCTTCCCTCCCTCCTCCTTTCCTTCCTTCCCTTCTTCCCTCCTTTCCTACCTCTCCCTCTCTCTGTCTCTTTCATTTCAAGCTCTTCATTTCCTCCCTCCTTTTCTTCCTTCCTTCCTTCCTTCCTTCCTTCCTTCCTTCCTTCCTCCCTTCCTCCCTTCCTTCCTTCCTTTCTTTCTTTCTCTTTCTTTCTTTCTTTCTTTCTTTCTTTCTTTCTTTCTTTCTTTCTTTCTTTCTTTCTTTCTTTCTTTCTTTCTTTCCTTCCTTCCTTCCTTTCATTCTATCTTTCTTCCCTTTTTTCTTTCTTTTCAGCCTGTGTGTTTTTCATTTCCTTGGGTAGGTTGTTGTACTGCCTAGAACTATGTGGAATTACAGTGCACAGTGCATATGTCTTTAACCCACTTCTGATCCTGAGAGAAATCACCCAGTCATTCTTCATTATGGATTGTAGAAACTCAAGGGGTTGGAAAATACTCTTTATTAATTTTAAGAAGTCCCACTCTATTGCTAACTTTTTTAGTTTTTTTTTTAATCAGGATCTATGTTGACTTTGTCAAATGACTTTCTATATCAATTGATATACATGTAACATTTCTTGTTTAGCTTGTTGAATGGTAGACTGCAGTGACCAAATTTTACATATTAACTAAACTCACATTCTTGTAATAAATACCATTGGTTATGATGTAGAATTGATTTTCTGTGTTGTTGAATTGTGTTTACTAATATTTTCTTAAGGAAGTTTGCTGCTATGTTGATGAAGAATATTGATCCGTAGTTCTCTTTTGTCTTTTTCTTTGTGCTGTTTTCATTGGACTCTGGTGTCTTTTCTGGATTCTTTGAATATATATTTCTGTGTCACTTAAAAATTATAGAAAGACCACCTCAAACATTAAAAATAATCAGCAAATAACTTTGCCAAAAAATGTTAAAAATAGTCAGCAAATAACTTTGCCAAAAAACATTAAAGCCAGATGAAACTCTTGCTTTATAGAAGCAACATTTCCCTGCTTTCATTGACATTAACAATAATGCACTATTTTGTAATAAACATTTAATATCTAATAAATCTTTATAGGGTACATTGTGATGTTTCAGTACAAAGGTGCATTGTGTAATGATCAAATGAGGGTAATTAGCATACTCAGCTCCTCAAACACTTATTTCTTTGCAGTTGGAAGATTCAAAATCTTCTACTTGAGATCACAATAATTTACTGCTAATTGTGGTCATGAAACTATGCAGTAGGACACAGTATCTACCTATTCCTCCTTTCTAATTATTACATGGAGTACATTGGCCAGCCTTTCACATTCTCCCTCCTCCCCTACCTTAGTCTCTGATAAACCACTGTTTATTTACTTCTATGAGATGAACATTTAAGAGACTTTAAGGTTTAACTAGGAGAAGATCTTTATCAGCAATATATCAAACAAAGGCCTAAAATCCAATATATACAAGGAGCTCAAAAAACTAACCCCTCCCAAACCTAATAAACTAATCACTAAATGGGCAAAGGAGTTAAGGAGACACTTCTCAGAAGAGGCAAGAATGGCAAAGAAGCTCATGAGGAAATGTTCATCATTGCTGACCATAAAAGAAATGCACATCAAAACAACCCTGAGATACCATCTTACCCCAGTAAGATTGGCCAGCATTGTGAATTCAAACAAATATTCATGGTGCTGTGGAGAAAAAGGAACCCTACTGCACTGCACTGTTGGTGGGAATGTAAACTAGTACCATCACTCTAGAAAGCAGTCTGGAGGGTCTTCAAAAGACTTAAACATCATGAGCCAGGATATGATAAGGACACCTGCACATCCATTATATGGAAACAGCACAGATGCCCCACAAAAGATGAGTGGATCCAAAACATGTGGTACCTATATACAGTGGAATTTTATACAAGCATTAAAAAGAATAAAATAATGTCATTTGCAGGGAAATGGATGGAACTAGAACAAATCATGTTAAGTGAGATAAGCCAAGATCAGAGAGACAAATTGCACATGTTCTGATATGCAGAAGTTAGAGCTAAAATGCACTGGAATATGACAAATCATACCAGATTCTAGATACTCACAGTGAGACCAAAAGAGGATACTCTTAAGAGGGAATCATAAAGGTGTGACCTATGCACCTCTTCATACCTACATAAAATAATGTACATACTGAAACAAACTCCAAGATATGTAAACAAAAGACTTTTTTTTAGTTTTTGGTTTTTGATGATTCTGTCTTCTTTACCTCATATATGGTATATTCACGTGTAGATCTTCAGGAGGGTGGTGGGGAGGGCACAGAACTGGGGGGGCGAAGTACAGCACGGGAGCTCTCTGGACATTGATGAAAGTGAACAATACATCTCATCCGTGGAGATGGGGGTAGGGACTAGAGACTGGGAGAAAATGAGGGAACAGATGACACTATATGAAAGGAAATGTACTCATTACCTGACTCATGTAATTGTAACCCCTCCGTTCATCACCTCTATAATAACAATAAAGTAAAATTTTTAAAAATGAAAAATTCTAAAAAAAAAGTCTTTGAGATTTTATGGGATAAACTTTTAAGTTTCCATGTATAAACCAGATAGTTCAGGGTGTGTCTTTTTGTGTCAGGCTTATTTCACTTAACAAGTCTTGTTTCAACCACATCACAAGTGACAGAATTTCATCCTTTTTTTTTTAAACAATAAGTATTCACTTGTCTATATATACCATATTTTCTTGATCAGCTGCTGTTGGATACTTGGGCTGATCCATTCAAATTCTAACTCTTTGAGCAGTGCTACTATATATGTATTTCTGAATTGAAGAGGACTTCGTCTGAAGTACTTCAACAAAATCTTAGTAAATTAAGCATATCTTCAGCAAAAATAGTTAGAAGATCTGTGCTTTAATTTAAAGGCAGACAAGTTTTATTTTAAAGTTTTTCTAGTTCATCCTGGTGGTGGTTGCACATACCTGCAATCCTAGTAACTTAGACTGGAGATTGTGGCTTGAAGCCAGCCTGGGTAGAAAAGGTGGTGAGATTCTTACCTCCAATTAACCACCAAAAGGCAATTGTAGAGCTATGGCTCAAGTAGTAGAGTACCAAGCCTTATGTGAAATAGCCAAGTGAGATCATGGGCCCCTGAGTTCAAGCCCCAGTACTAGGACACACACAAATTTTCCTAGTTCTTATGGACCACATATTATTGTGTCACTAAACTGAGATCTTTTTTTTGACATTAATGAAGAGTTATGGTATGGATTCATGTTTAAGCTTCATAGTATGCTTGATGCTTATGTTTTGTAATGACTAAGACACAAACTTAGTGTGCACACAAATTCATATACATATCAATTCTTACCCTAAAAAATCCTAAGTAATAACCAAGTAGATGCCAGAAACAACCTATATGTGGTGAATTTTTAATGTCATTTCCTAGGTAAGAATTTAAAATTATAATTTACACTATGATTCTGATATCTGATATGATCAATTTTAAACACCAAGACAATACTTGATAACCTAAAATGTGTGTAGCATTTATACCACTGATTTTCCTGTATCTGCATGAACAAATATATTTTACCACATAGTTTGAGGAATGTTTCTGTACATGGTTCTGAGAAGAGAAATAGTTTCTCTCATCTTTGATGTAATTTTACAGGATTCAAGCCAAAACTCGAGAATTTAGGGAGCGCCAGGCCCGAGAGCGTGACTATGCTGAAATCCAAGATTTCCATCGGACATTTGGCTGTGACGATGAGTTGATGTACGGGGGAATGTCTTCCTATGAAGGCTCGCTGGCACTCAGCACCAGACCCCAGAGCCCAAGAGAGGGTCACATGATGGACGCTTTGTATGCCCAGGTGAAGAAGCCATGGAATTCCAAAGCTTCACCTGCAGACAGGTAGGCTCCAGCAGTGGTTTCAGCATTGCTTCCCAAACAACTTTCTCATCATTTTTCACAAGGGGGTAGATTGTTCTACAGTCTTCAAATCTGCCTGTTATTAATGGCATTTAAAAAGCTGTTGTGTCCCTAAATCTCGAGTTGCACAAACTGAAGCCTAATGGAAAGAGCAGTAAGAGGTTTGGATAATTTTTCTAATGATTTCAACATATTTCATCTGCTCTTCAAATGGCTTTAAACATGAGAAGCAACCTTCCTTTAGTTTATAATGCAAATAAAAAGCAAACTTGAAATTATGGCTCTTCTACTTAAGAAATATTTGCTCTTATTGCTGCTAGAGCCTCTAGCTGGGGTAATTAAATAGATGGAGAATGACATGATTTGTTCTAGTTATGATTTAGTAGGGCCACTTTTTTTAGCAGTGTAATTTTGTATTATGAAAGAATTACTAAATGAGAAACACTACATCTTGCCTACAAATTGCTTGTTAATAATCTCAGGTCTGAATTATGTTTATCCAAATAGCACCAGCACATTGTTGACTATGCTTTCATAGCTATAAAAATGTAAGTGGACATGGCTACATATTTGTTGATTACATACTTAATAATGGCTACATCATATTAGGCTATATATTTATATAAATGGCTAAATTTCAACTGAAACCATCTTAAACAGATCTTTTCCTACCATTTCACTTATATATGCAAGCACCATATGGAGTTTAGCATGTGAATAAAATCTTAGTCATTTCCTTTTATATCAAATATGTGTATGGCATTGTCATAAACAATATACTAATTATGTTTCAAATGTCGCTTGTATATGGGAGCTGGCCTTGTGCATTATAAATGGTTTCACTTAAAAGCAGTGGCTCTCAGGCAGCAGTGTGGATCAGGACCGCCTGAAGGGCTCTGTAAAATACTGATTGACTTCTCCACTAGAATCTTGATCTGTTGATCCGTAGGCTGCTGGTGGAGCCAGAAAAGTACATTTCTTACAAATGGCCAGGTTTAATGCTAGTGCTGTTAGCTCTCCTGGAAGCTTCTGGTTATGGACTCTCCTCAAACAAAAGATGTACTAGATTAATTTCATCTGTGGCTTCCAGATTTACTTGGTTTGTTGCAATTTTGCAAGCAGTCTATATTTTAGTTACTGACTTCTATTTCTAATGTAAGTTTACAAATGTAACAAATGATTTCAGACAAGCAGAAAGGAAACAAAACAAAGTAGCACAGGAAGAAGCAGATCCAAAGGAGAAAACTGTTCAGATTATTGTGGTAGGATTTCCTCTAGTTGTGTTTTACACATTCTTTATGGTAGTAGAACATCTCTTTGATGTTGACTGTTAGGAGTGAGGGGGGTAACAGTTGGCTTGAGGTTTATTTAAGCCATGTGTTGTGATCATCTACAAGTTTTACATACTTACTAACTAAGGATATGTCAGTGCTCAAAGGAAGAAATCATTATCAGTGACAGTGACATTTTCTTTGAAAGCTTTTTCCTTGCTTTCAGCTGCATTTGTGAAAGCTGCTTGTGGAAGGTCAGACAGCATTTGAAGGCCATAAATGACTCATTGTAAGGTTCCCCCGCCCCTAGCAGACTCATGGGCCTTGCTTGTTACTATCTTCTGAAGGAACTGAAAAGAAAATCAGTCAATGTGTCATTGGTTGGTCAGAGCTGAGGTCAGAGGGATCTCTTGGCTCCCCAAGACAGGAAATGGCTGCAGAGGGCTAGAGATGAGCATCAAGTGGTAATGTGCCTCCCTACTCATCTTGAGGCTCTGAGTTCAAACCCAGAGCCCCCTACTCCCCTTCACCCCCCCAAAAGAAGGTTACTTTAAAGTCTAGTGTTATATGAGAATCTTAGTCTCTCCTGGAGATTTTTGATCATTTTTCCAAGGGTTTAACATGCTCAGAACCCTCTCCCTGCCCAGGGCTTCTACACTGCACCATCCTAACTCAGACAATCAGACAATCTCCTCACTCATTGCCATCAAAAGCCCACTCAGCAAAACACCCCAGGGGAGACTTTGGTCATGGAGGACAACTCAAAATTACATCTTCGACCTCACTATCTTCAAAAGCATATCTGTTCCCCTTACCCAGAATGTTAAAACTCATCTTTTGTTAAAATAAAAAGATTAAAGCAACTTCAGTTTTCTTGTTTCTAAGAGAATAAGATATCCAGTAAACAATGAATTTGTGATAAAAAAAAAAACTTAAATGAATTTGTGATAAAAAACTTAAATTTTCTCAAAATAAAATTCAAAGCAGGAATTATATGTACCCCTCTACCTGCCACACAGGGAACAGTGTTACTAATGGAAAAAGGAAATTATTCTACCTGTCAGGTACTTCTTCACCTGCTCATCTTTGAATTTTGTTTGGGGGAAAAATAACTATCACCTCTGCTGTCTTTTATTGTTTGAGAAGAAACTTTCAAAAAGTGTTTTTTCAGACTTGGTTAGTGTTAAAAACTTATATTCTTAAAAATCTCTTATACTGTGGTATTGCTTTAAATTGCTTTGATTACATGTTACCCAAACATGTATAAAATAGGTTGAAATTGCTTCTGTATATAACCAATCTACAACTATAAAATGAAACATCTTGAAGAAGTTAAATACAAACAGAATGATAAGCCATTGTGTTCAGATGAACGTTTATTTAATGTAGCTTATACTTTATTGTTAGAATCTATATTGTGTTGCAAATCATGAAAGTGGTAGCTACTGAATGACAGGTTCATTTGCAGTAGGCTTCATGTCCTACCTCCAATGAGCTGTGTGCTGATTCAGTTCACTAATTATTTATCTCCAAATTTTGCATTTTTTGGTGTGTTTATGTCGAACTGTCTTTGGCCTTACACATTATAGAGATGCAACCCTTATACATAAAGTGCAGCTTGCTTCTGACACCATTCAACTGAGCAGTGGAAGTAGCATTTCTTAGTGCCTTCATACTTGGAAACTTAAATTCATACAATTAAATAACCTACTTGTAGACAATCTAGAATATGCTTATTATCTTAAAAAAATTAACCATCCTAATGGAAGCAGAAATGTTGAAACTCCTTAGAGATTATTTCCTGCGCGAACAATATGCAAATTCGTATTAACTGACTAAATGTCACTAAAATTTGCTGTGGATGTTGAATGAACTTTATTATTCAAATTTTTTTGCGATTCATGAGGCTATATACAATATATGGAGTTGATCATCTAAAGTGCAGCATATGTCTCTTTATCTGCATCTGTCTCTTCTCAGTAAGAAAACAGCTTATAGAATTTACTTATTTTGCTCAACTGTATAGCATAATATGAGGGTTTTGTAGTCCTACAATGAAGCAACCAAGGGTAACTTGTTAAATTCTGTGATTTTTGACATCAAAACAGGCAACATGCTCTCCATTTCCACATATTATTTATAAATGATTTTCAAAAGATAACACCATGCTGTGTCTAGAAATATTTTCGTGCCTTTGTTGTTTTATTACCATGAACTTAGTATGTGCTTTAGTCATATTGCCAGAGTTCATTGCTAATTTGTTAGTGTCCTTGGTAACATTTTAACTTTTCATTTTGGATGGATGCTAAAAAGAGGCAACACTACATCCTGAGTTTTCTATGAAAACTGAACCTCCCAAATCAGAAATGGTATAGTTACTTGTTACAACCAGAGGCCTCACCAATGTATCCAACAGTAAATGATTCCAAATCATCTATATCTTTGACATAAGAGCACTTCCTGTCTTAGCTGGTTGGAAATCCAGCAACTGATACAGTGCTTGCTCTCCATGATTCTGTATTTCTCCACAGTGGAAGACACTATCACTTGCCTGCCCAATACTTCTCCTTCGCTTCCACTTTTTATTTTTTTATTATCTTTTAATTCTGGGATTTGAAATGCTGAGTAACTACTGTACCACTTGGGTTAAACATCAGACCTTTCTTGCTGTAGTCATTTTTCAGATAAGGCCTCATAGTTTTGCCAGGGCTGGCCTTGCATAGACAATTCTGCTATAAAGGAAGCCGAGTATAACATACTAGAACAAAACTATAGAACCTGCTCCCCTGACTTTGTTCTTGGCCTTTTCCATCATATACTGTATAAGCTCTGTTAACTTTATCTGTAAAAAGGGGGTAATAATGGTCCCCATCTCATCAGGCTTTGGGGAGGATTAACTATGTTAATTTTTGTGCCTGGTCCCCAAGAAGCATGGTTCCAGAATTTGCTGTACAGTTGTGACTTGGGAGAAGAGCTTTTTCTCCTAGAACAGCATTGATATCCCTACATGCATGCAGAAAACAAGAACAAGGATTAACAGAAAAGTGAACAAATACTTTGAGTCTTTATTAGTTAGCAAATAGAAAAGTATGAGGATATGTTTCTGTTGATAATGCTCAAGTTGTTAAATTGCTCAATCTCTGTGTCTTCTCCATAAATCACATATCAGGAGCAGTTTCTCCTAAACTTAAGCCTCACTGGCTTCAGCATGAAGTATTTCTTTTTGCCCCAACAGTATAAATAGTTGGATTAAAGTATTTGCTGGAGACCTGTGACACATCATCTGAGAGGGGAGTGGAGGGATGGTGTTGTAAGAACACAGCGTCTCTCACTCAACTTCAGTTTCTCCTTTGAGGATTTGGAAGTCCCCCATCCCCTACCATAGTTGTAGGGCTTGAACTAGGGCCTGGGAGCTATCTTTGGGCTTTTCTGTTCCAGAGCTCTACTACTTTGAGCCACGGCTCCACTTCCAATTTTCTTGTGGTTAATTGGAGATAAGAGTCTCACAGACTCTCCTGCCTGGGCTGGCTTCTAACTGCAATCCTCAAATTTCAGCTTCCTGAATAGCTGGGTTTACAGGCATGAGCTACCAGCACCTGGCTTGATTTGAAAGTCTTCATTGTGCACTAGTGTGTAATTACTACCTATTCCCAGCTTGCACAGCTCCCAGGAAGAGGAAAGCTTGGACTTCTCAAACGTCATCTATGTTTT